ATTTAATAGTGCAGAGTCAGGTCCTAAAACCAAATCCTTTTCATTCCCTCAGTTCCCTTGATTCCATGTGGTCTAAAAATCACTCCACTAAACATGCCAATATCTAAACCATGGGAACAAGTGAAATACTAATGAAAAAAGCTCTAAAAGATGTGGGATCTCCTTCTTTAACTACATGACTTTTAAAAAAAAAAAACCCTGTTAAATAGTATATCATTTCTGATATGTCATTTACAATAATAACAGTGAAAATACCATGTTCGTGTGCTGAGGCATATGGTAGTTATATCTGGATCTAAAATGAGGGTCCTTCCCTTGAAAATGAGGCACAGCTCACTGATGCTCTAAACCACAGACCTTTCTAGTGCCACACCAGATGGCTTTTCTGTTGACACATGTGGCTATGAATATTCCTCTGAAGCAGTCGTTTTGATGCTGTTGTGCTCACAGTGTTAGAGAAGCTAGTGTATGCTCTATACTTGGGACCAGCTTCAGAAAAGGTGGCACAGAGAGATGTGAATTGCATTTCCCATCCCAGCTGCATAATTCTCTCCCCTCCCCCTACAACCGTGTAGTACAGAGGATGTACAAGTATGGATGACAGAGGCAGTTACAACTTAAGCATTAATTTGCATGGAAGCGCTGCAGTGGGAGCTACTGAAGAGAGGCACTGAATCAACACACTCATCAACAACACAGCATCCTCTTGTCAGATAGTGCTAGCTTGTACTTCATTGTTGAATGATAGCAGTCTTGTTCTGCCATATCCTCACCCTCTACTGGATTTTCTACATCCAGGGATCTCTGCTGGGGTTTATGCCAGTGTAAGGATAAGTGACTCTATCCCACCACATATAAGAACAATAGTTGAGTCAGAGAAGCATCACCCTGGTTCCCCACTTCAGTGTTTTCTTAGCAAGTTCAGCCCCTTTATTCCACAGCTTGAGCTGTTTTAACCAATACAGTCATCAGATGGTGAAGTGGATTTGCTTTGGTTCCCTTTCTAAACATGGCAGACGTGTGAGTCAGTTCACCTGCAGTGCTGTGAGTCAGGAGTTGTTTCGTTGAAGTCCAAGAAGCTAAACTGATGTATAGCTGAAGTGAAAGCCAGGCCTTGCCTTCAAATCTTGCTCTACATCTGATTTGTAATGGAAATTGTGTCTGTGAATGTACAGGCCAAGCTACATTGCTGCATGTGACTGGCTACTCAGTGAGCGCTGGCATCTTTAGGAAAGAACTGTTTGTGTCCCATGTGTGTTCGAAGCATCTGTTTGAGCTGCTCTTAATGGACAGCTGACTCTTGGGGTGGCAATAGTGCTGCTCATACACTGACCAGAAAGCTGCTACAAAATCCAGCAGTACTTGTATAACCATAATATGCATTAAAAATGAGATTGCTGTGTAAAGATGGGTTGTAAACCTGAATATTGTTAAACATATGGATGTTTGAAACATGGGTGGAGAGATGAAATCTTCCTTGCTGCTTGTCGGTAGCATGCTCAGGCATTTGGGACTCCATTTGCTTTTCCTTGTAGCCAGCTCCCATTACCATGAATGGAGTCATTCACATGAGTGCCAAGACATTTCAGAACTAGAAAATGAATCCAAGTCTATTTGCATGCCTCCTACTGTGCTCACCGCTTCAGCCCCAATGACCGGGTCTTGTTCCCCACTCCTCTGTCACACCACGTCACAGGCCAGTCCCCCTGAACTGTTCCTCTTCTCCGGTCTCTTGCACAGGTGCTTATTCACCCCCAATAGTTTGTGATATTTCAATTGTCAAGTTTCCTATCTGAGAACACAGGCCAGCATGCTTTCATTGTACAATACCACAAATGCTTTTTATTCGCAGACAACAAACTTGGCTGATGTCCTGTAGTCAGATGCCTCAGTTGGCTTTTCTGCTGGTTTGCCTTTCTAGTCTTGGTGCATCTCTTTTCTTATAATTAATAAGGGTTTTATGCAAATGGGGTTGGTCTGCATCTAGCTACAGGCCAATTAAAGCAGAACTAGATGAACAGTTATGGAGTTCCATCTTGTAGCCTTTAAATTCCTCACAAAGAACACCCCCATTTCGGAAAACCCAGTAAGGACTCCCTTTCCCTTTAAATTTGGCTCTCTTTCTGCATACAACTCTAATTAATCCCACTGACTCATTAAATCAATTCCCTGCCATTGCAGAAGCATTGGTGTACCTTGGTCCCTCCTGTTCTATGCCCATGATATGCTATAGTTTATTCTCTGGGTTGCCGTAATGCTTTAATCCAATCCAGGTTAGTGGATTCAATGCCGAGATAATAGAGTGGAGTTTAGTGGCTTTGAGTTAGTCCCTTTTGGCCCTCAACTGTGATTTCAGTTGGCCATTCTATGTGCAGTCAACTGAGCACAGGCAGGATTAGGGCCTTACAGTAGGCCTTTTATTGTTATCATTCCTATGTGTACCCAGTCTGGGTTGAATCTAGTCTTCCCATCTTTACCATGTAGGTTTGTAACTTTCTGTTTCATGGTGCGTATGTAACCAGAAGGCGTTGTTCTTAATGGAAAATTAGGAGGAGCTGTTGTTGTGAGAGACTCCAAAGCTCACTGGATAGTAGCTGAGCAGCAATTCAGGTAAGAAATCCTATTTTCCCCTGTCAGCTCAGAGTTAGAATTTGCTGTTTGTTAGAAGAAAGCAAGTACCAGTGGCAATGCGGCCATGACAGGAAATTCTGAACTATCCAAAGTAAATCCTTTTAAAGTCTGAGCCAGGGCTGGGCTGTTTGAAAGCTACAAAAAGAGCATCCGCAAACACTCATTCAGATCCCAGATGCCAGCTCAGTTTGATCATATTCCTACCCCTTTTATTTGCTGTTCTTCACTTGAATTTCTCGGGAATGGCTGTTCATACATTTTGTGCTATGTTGATCTTTCCTCAACGTCTGCCTGACATACTAGTAATTAACAGTAGATGGTTGCTTCTCTTAGCCAAGCAGTGGAAATGTGCACATCATGACATGCTTGCATGACAGGAGATTCAATACAGAAGCAAAATAAAACAGTGCAAGTTAGCGCCACCTGTACTAACTTAGAATACTTATTACGTGTTAGTAAAGTTGAACATAAGGGGACTTAAGTTACACATCACCTCTCAATTTGGCCTGGGACTCTAAGGACTTGTCTGTACATTGTTGAGTGCTCAGAAGTGTCATGCTCTCACTGGTTCCTAGTGAATGTTAATGTTGTACTGTTTGAAGCAGGTCTACATCCATGTGCACTAGGAAGCCTTTAGGGTAGAGGGTGTCAGCAGGATTTACATGGGGCAGTGAGTGCAACACTTCACTGCACTCTGCAATTTACAGTGTAGCATGTACCCAGAGGTGTGTAAAGACAGGCACTAGATGAGTGTAAGTGGTTCTAGAGTGCCGGTATGGGGGTAGGGAGAAAATCAGGGCCAAAAAAAATCTGACTTATGAGAGAATTTAACAGACCACCATGAATTGGCTGCTTAGTAGAGGTGGAGCACAATTATTATTAGTACACGTAAGATAAACTGATATAACTTCACATAGGGTGCCAGTGCATCAGACAGTCACTTATAGAGCATTCACTGAATATGGTTAGAGAGATGGGACTGGTAATCTTTCAGTCTTAAAATATATTTCTTTTAATAAACAGCCCTGGCACTGCTTGCGATGGCCAATAACTGCAGCTTTTTGTGTGTGATGTTTATGGTTGGGAAGAAAAGCTTCAAAGCATGGAGTGAGTTTAACTGAAACAGGTGTTTCAGATTGTCTACAAATTCAGGCAGTAAATAGCTCTGAAATGTGAACCTCTCCGTGTCATTTTATGGGTGCTAACTCGGATGCTCCAGATGATACTTAAAGTGTCAACGTATTTATCTCATTGCACAACAAAGCATATAAGAAAGCAGAGGTATCAAATTAGGAAGGTGTATAGTGTACTCTGAATGAACACTTATTTGGATAGGCTTCTCAAAACACAACAGAGTGAGGGACTTTGGTCGTGCATTCAACTATCATGTTGCTTTGCACAGAATATATAACACTTCAAAGTGTGGTAGTACAACAACTGAATTAGTTCTGCAGATTTTTTTTTTTTTTTTTTTTTGGAGGGAGGGAGAGTAGTACCTGAAACAATGAAGGACTCCCTCCAGCGTGGTAGGGACAAGGATCGGATTCCATTGGAGAAGCTCCCTCTATAACCAGATTGTCCAGCAACTTTCTGAACAAGGATTTTCCCTCCCGAGTTGTCAATTGTACCACTACAAAAAGAGGGAGGGAGCATGGAAAGTGTTAAATGACACCCGCAGAGAAACTTAAAACTATTCAACTATACAAGAGTTAGGAAGATGTTCTGATTTTAAACGGCATGGTTGAGGTTACAGTCGTCTTCAGTACAACTTGGAGAAGTCTTTTGCTAAGAAGTATTAGATTCTGCTGCTATAAACAGAGTAGTTTAGCTATCGTGTCTAAGCTAATTAGAACGAAATACTTTACCATTTTATATTATAACTTTGAGCTTTACAATTCTCTTTAAGCTGTTGGCAGCATAAGGAAAGGAAACTCACGGCTGTCATACACATATCAGAACAGTCAACAAATCCAAACTCTAATGGCACCTAGAGAAAACTATGAGTGTTTGCCCCGAAAACATAGGCCTCTACCACTTGAACTTCCAGAAATACTACATTCTCTGTCAGTATGTTGTGCTAGGTTTAAATTGCTGTAGAGACAGTCTGCTCTCAGGTATTCATGCACAAATCCCATTTTAGTAAGAGGGTATTGCACATAAATATTTTGAGGTAAGAATGTGGCAGGGTTTTTTTAGTCACTTGAAGACAATTTAATAACCAACATGTGAACACACATGACTTCATCCAGCAGATAGCAATGGTCTTCGTAAGAGATGAAAAGGGGTTTTTATCTGTCTGTCCCACCGTGTACATTAAATTATGCACCACCTGAATTGCCTGCAGTTTGATGTGGCAGTTTGTAAAGTGCTCCCCCGCCCCCCACCACTCCTGATTTTTATGTGATGTGTATGTGTCACTCAGTGTTTGGTGCATGGGTGGCGTTAGTATGTGTTCGTGGGTTCAGTTGCAAAAAGAGCCAGATGTACATTTCACCACTCCTCGCTGGGCTAGAAGAACTGGGGGGATTTTGGGAGGGGAAAGGAGAGGCAGCTGGGCTGAACTTGAGTGCCATTATGAAGGTGTGTGACTGTCGCAATTCCTGGAGCAGAGATCTGGGAGCCACCACTGCAGGGTGCATGAGGGCTTGCTCACCAGCCTGCCTCGCCCGGCCCTGCCCTCCATTTTGCACCTGGCTAGGATTAGGTGGTGGTCCTAGGGTAAGAGATGCTATTGCAGTTGGTTGGTGCCCGCTGGGCACTAATTGATAATAATGCACTAATTGAAGCAGGAGGCTACATCTGTCCCGGTTTAGAGTAAAAGCTTTCAGGATATTTTCTAAGCTTAAACAGGATCACCAAAAAGAATCCTACCATGAGAGATGATAACTATGTTGCCTGCACGTTATTAGTGAGATTATTACTGTTGAATCATGTACTCTTTTGATGGTGTAAAACAGTGCAACCTGGACAGCGGGGCTTTGTAGGGGTGCGACAAAATAGGAGATATCCCAAAATAGCTATCCCGCATCTTTTAAACGCACCCATTATTTCGAAATATTTTTCAAAATAATGGGCATGCTACTTTGGCATCCCTGTAATCCTCATTCCACGAGGGATAAGGGATGTATCAAAATAGTGCGTTATTTCAAAATTTGGCTCTGTGTAGATGCACCAAATGTCAAAATAAACTATTTTGAAATACAATAGAAATAAGAAACCCAATTTGCATCTCTTATTTCAAGTGTAGACTGCTGTGTAGACACACCCTTAAATGAGTGGTCTGGAAAAGTCTGGGCAGTTCCTGTGAGGTGCTGAGCACACTCAGTAATAGCTAATGTCTAGCTCGTATAGCGCCTTTCTGAATAGATCTCAAATGATTCTGCAACAACAAAGTGTCATCATTCCAGCTTTACAGCTGGGAAGAGCAAATGATTTCAGGAGAAGCTCTGGGTGTCCATCACTCTGAGGTTTGGGCCAATCACATCAAATACTATTTCTCTGAGGCTGTTTCTAGACTACATTCCTCTTTCAACAGAGGGATGTAAATTAGACACTTCAAAGTTGCAAATAAAGCCGGGATTTGAATTTCCTGCGCTTCATTTGCACAATCGTGTCATGGCGCTTTTTCGAAAAAATGCTATTTTGAAAGTAAAACCGCGGTCTAGATGCAGTTCTTTCAAAAAGGGCAGGCTTTTTCAAAAGATCCTGTAAACCTTATTAAGCAGGGCTTAATAAGCTCCAAAGCCAATGGTCCCCTCCCTACACTGGAAGTATAATTCTGTACAGGAGCATCTCAGTAGTTTAAAACTGCTGACCTGTGAATAGCAGCACCACATATGCTGGAAAAAGAAGCATAAATGTCTGTGCCATAAACACGGTATTTTATGTCTTGGCATCCCGGTGGACATTTTGCAATGAACTCCGGATTGATTATCTTCCCAGCTTTGATATCGCAGTCTACCTCTGGTACATCTGTGAATGCACAAAAGAGCAGAAAAGTTAGATTTAGTGTTCCTATAGCTGCATAGCCATGTAATGCACAGCAGTGTCATGCATGCCCTCTTTGAGCATATGGATGAATGCCTGCAGTGCACAAGAGGCGGTTGCATGTACATCATAAATGAATGGCAAGGTTAGGGTGGCAACTAAAGATGGACTGAGGAAATCAGTAGATATTTCTGACCCTAAAGGAAATCTCCAGGGTCATATAAAAGTTTCTAATTACCGCAGGATAGTGTGTGGCCATACGCTGGGAGAAGGGGGCAGAAGTAAAGGCTGGGAGTTGTATACATCACTCCCAGCATTCTCCTTGTGACAACAGAGTTCTTCTTCAGCCTTCAAGGCAAGGCTGTGGCAAAATATCATGATCTTGCCCTAAACCATTACAAATGTTTGACTGTTGTGCACAGCAAACACAGGATATAAACATGGGCGGCGGGTAAAGGCCCACCTGGGGAAGGCAGCAAAAGCCCCACCCCTTCCACCCAAAGCCACCCCTTCCCCCAGGACTGTGCCCCTTCACAACCTTTCTTTCCCTGCTTTATCCCAGCTGAAGGATGGAGCTGCTGTGCGGTGTGGCTCCGGCCTTCCCCGGATGCTGGGGTGCTGTGCAGTGTGGCCTCAGCCCTCCCAGGTGGCTGAGCAGTGTAGGCAATTTTGGGGGAGGTAATACCTTTCCTGGTCTACATTCCCTGCAGCTTGTGGATATAAATAAAAACTTAAGCTCTGTTTTATTGTCAACAGTTAGATTATAATATTACCTAGTGGCAGGTTTGCATTTCACCCAATGCAGCCAGACTGAATGCCCAGAAAAGTCCTTTTGGGATTGTAGCTAGAAGTCCCATGTCATACCCTTTCCAGTGGTTAAGATGCACAGGTGTCACCTTACCGTGTGTGTATTTCAACATAGTTATGTCTTACCTTGGCTTTTATACCAGGCTGTTCACTATGGTATCTGAGTATTTGTGTGTAGTATGCAAGACGCTGTATTAGATATAATTCACTTGCTATATACATTTCATTATGTGAGGCATATGATTCACACAAAGAGGCTACGTATTATTGTATGTTACTGGCTCCTAATAGAAGCCCCAAGGACATCACAGAAAATAGCCATCACTTCACTCAGGGGTTTTTCTGCACTGGACCTTCCTATTTTCAATCAGTTAGGCATGTTGTTGAGAGTACTTACGTAGTTTAGCTTTTTTGTTCTTCTTTGTGGCTTCTTTAGTTGCATATGTACAAGTCAGAAACAAAGCTAAGACAAAGAAAATACAAAGTCAGGCAAACAGGCAAGCGTCAGTGTCTTTTAGGACATATCTCTGTGCTTCAGTTTTCTGGAGCTCAGGTTTATTATTAATCAACTTTTTAAAAAAGGAAATTCATGTTTTTTCCAGCAGCAAGCAGAACTGTTTGAGAAGACATATTCCAGCGTGAGTGTGTGTGTGCGTGTGTGTGTGTTTCTGTCTGTCTGTCTGAGAAGACATATTCGTGTGTGTGTGTGTGTGTGTGCGCGCGTGCAGTGGAGTAGAGATTGACTAACTCTTGGAACACTTATCTTTTTCCACACAACACATAATTAACTCGGGGGAATTCACTACCAAAAGATGCAACTGAGTCCAAGAGCTTAACAGACTTAAGAAAAGATTAGACATTTTCATGAGTAATAGGAGAGCACCCACGAGTATTTAAAGCAGAATAAATAATGTTAGGATTAGACAACTTCATGCTTTACCGCTGCATAAACCAACAATTAACTGAGGGGTTAGGGCGGGGTGGCTAGGAAAACACTTCACTGATAGGCAGGTGGTTTCATAAGAAAACACGAACAAAAACTCTAGGGTCATCCTCTCAAGTAGCTGGTATTGGGCTCTGATGGAGACAGGCTGCTGGACAGGATGGACCATACTAGATGGACCACTCACCTGATTTGGTTTGACAATTCTATTATACAGTTAATGTATCACCAAAGCCTGAGGTTTATAGTTCAACTATTTCAGTGAATTTTTTATTTAATGTGGGAACTATATGGTGGTGACAGGTAGATCTCACTTACCATTGTAGGGTTGTCTGCTAATTAATTGTCATAAAAATGTTCAATTTTCTGGACCTTTTCTAAGTACTATATTGTGAGTATGGATCTGATTGGGCTGGGGGGCATGGTGTGTGGAATGTGCTGAGTCCAAGGATCCAAAGAAATATTTAGCACATTGCTGAACATACACGTGTTGCAGCTTCTCATTCACATCCTGCCCCAGCAACGACCGTGTGGTGCTTCACACCTCCAACAACCAGTGGTGCCCCACTGTGACTATATGCCTATAGCTGGGAAGAGTCACATGATGCTAGCAGGGCGATTAGCTGCTGCTCTGAGCCGCAGTCATTCAGGCTGTGTCTAGACTGCAGGGTTTTTTCGAAAAAAGTAGCCTTTTTTCGAAAAAACCTCACCTGCGTCTAGACTGCATCCGCGTTCTTTCGAAATTCAATCAAAAGAACACGGCTTTTCTTTCGACGGCGGTACTCCTCATTTCACGAGGAAGAACGCCTTTTTTTGAAAGTGCTCTTTCGAAAAAAGGCATTCTTGAATGCAAACAGGGCTTTTTTGAAAGAGAGCATCCACACTGCCTGGGTGCTCTCTTTCGAAAAAGCGGCTTGCTTTTTCGAAAGTACTGCTTGCAGTCTAGATGCTCTTTTTCGAAAGAGGCTTGCAGTCTAGACGTAGCCTCACAGTGTGCATTGCTTTGTAAAATGCAAACCTAAAGATGGGAATTATGCTCCAGGGATCCCTTTGATGAATTTCTCCCTCCCAGACACATATACACATGTACTGTAGGATGCTCACTGAATGATAGTACATTATGAAGAATAGCATGCCATGTAGCCTTCCTCTCCACGTGGCCTCATTCCCTATTTTGTACACTGAAGGCATTTTGCAGTGGAGGGGAGCATATATAGTTAGTTCTCTATTTCCAAGTTCTGTGCAAGCCACACCTCCCCTGTTGTTACACAGGGCTCATCGTGCATTTATAAACTCTACTGTAATGTGATCTAAAAAGTCTCCTAATCCATAGGTTTTGATACCTGATTTTAGTTTTTTTATGTAAGGTCTATATGTCTGCATCTGAAAGGAGTTGTGTAGTGGGTTCTTATTCTTGTGGTTTTGCTTCTGTAACAGGCACATTTTGCCTTTTTGAGGAGCTCATGCAGGCGGAGATAATATTTCTTACAGGTGAGGTATAAATCTGCTTAGGCTGTGAATCATTTCTAAGATCCTTTGCATTTCAGGGATGTATTCAGGAGCCTGCATGTCCTGAATGACTTTTACATTCTTTTGATTGAGTTTTAATTTACACGGGGCTAGATGGCTGAAGATCAGAGAGCAGCAACCAGATCTCTGCAGTGTTCTCTCCCTCACTCCCAGTCCACTGAATCAGAATTCAGCTCATGCGGGATGGAGAATTTGCCCACAGTCTACTTTTCTGGGGCACTGCAGCCAGAAGAGCACACTATGCACGGACAGTGAGAAAGTATTTCTTCAATACCGTACTGTGGAACAATTCCGTTTAATCCTCTCTAAAGTTAATAGGAGTTAAAATACTGAGTGCTCTCTGGATAGACGCTATAATGTTTATATTTAATCTTGACTGGAGTATATCCCAGCAATCTTATTCCTCCCTTGCCACCCCTGAATTGCTGCCGATTTCTTCTCATAAGTGTATTGATTTGATAGCTCTTGGAACTTTTCTGCCAACTTGTAAATTGAGTATGAGTGCCACTTCCTCCCCATGCATTGTCAGTGAGTTCAGCTGGATTGAATGAAGCATTAGAGGAGAACAGCAGGCGCTTGGTCTCTTGCATTGTGGCAGATATCAATGAACTGAGCAGATTAAAGCAAAGAGAAAATATAGCTGATCCTGCGTGTCCAACAATCCTTGACAGTTCCTACTTAGGACAGTACTACAGTTAGGCCATGCCTACGCTATGGGGGGAGATCAATGCTGCTGCAGACGATCTTCCGGATTCGATTTAACAGGTCTTGTGAAGACCCACTATATAGAACTCAGATGAACTCTTCTGCTCCTCATGAGGAGTAAGGGAAGCCGACATTGGCATTTGCTCCCATTGACTTCCTGCTGTGTGGACGGCGTAGAAACACAACTTAAGATATGTCGACTCCAGCTACGTAATTAACTTAGCTGGATTTGGGTATCTTAAATTGACCTCCTGCTATAGTGTAGATAAGGTCTTAGTGATAGAAAATGCGGGTAGGTAATGTGATGGCTGGATTCTATCAACCAGAAACTTGTAACACACACAAAAAATCATGATCCATTCAGCCAAACCCTGAGGTTGTGTCTACACTGGCCACTTATTCCGGAAAATCAGCCGCTTTTCCGGAATAACTTGCCAGCTGTCTACACTGGCCCCTTGAATTTCCGGAAAAGCACTGACGATCTACTGTAATATCATAGAATCATAGAATAATAGGACTGGAAGGGACCTCGAGAGGTCATCGAGTCCAGCCCCCCACCCTCAAGGCAGGATCAAGCTCCGTCTACACCATCCCTGACAGATGTCTATCTAACCTGTTCTTAAATATCTCCAGATATCATCAGTGCTTTTCCGGAAAAACTATGCTGTTCCCGTTCGGGCAAAAGTCCTTTTCCGGAAAACTGTTCCAGAAAAGGGCCAGTGTAGACAGCACAGATTTCTTTTCCGCAAAAAAGCCCCGATCGTGAAAACGACGATCGGGGCTTTTTTGCGGAAAAGCGCGTCTACATTGGCACGGACGCTTTTCCGGAAAAAGTGCTTTTCCGGAAAAGCATCCTGCCAATGTAGACGCGCTTTTCCCGGAAATACTTATTACGGAAAACTGTTCCGTTTTAAGCATTTCCGGAAAAGGGTGCCCGTGTTGACGTAGCCTGATTGTTTTTGTAAGGTCAGCTCCATATCTTGGTGCCTCTCTGTGTTCCCTAAAGGAGCAGATCTCTCTTGCAAGACCATCCTGATAAACGATGGTGTGTTTGCAGCCCTTTTCCCTGAATATCATCTTGATTGTGTTGAAGGTCCTCATCCTCTTTGGATTTGGGGGAAAAAATGGTTAGTGGGAAGATTGTAAGAGCATGAAATACACATTGTTCTTCCTTGGTGGGGGCTTTTAAGATTTAGACATTTGCATAATTGTGCAGTCTACTGTAATTATTGCATCCTATATACAGCCAAACAGTCAGTGCATGTTATTAATGAAATGTAATTTTTGGAGGGGTAATCAAGAAACTGGCATAACCAGGACTTTTATACCTTCACAAGGTTCTCCTAAATCTTCTGCTAGGAATCCTACTAGCTGTAGCAGACCTAACTGAAGTCAGGAAGCCGCTAACCACTGTCTTGGATTGGAGAACTAAAGCATCACATCAGATCACTTTCAAGTCATCGTAAGAAAGATTTTTTCACTGTATCATTTTGTCCAGATCTCAGATACATCTTTCCTAGGTGAGTGCTTTTCCTCTTTGCAGGCATTTCATTGCCATTCACTACTGAACCCACAATGTCTGCATCATGCAGATATGCATTGCTCACACGACATGGAGACTTTTCCAAAGTCATTGACCCAGTCCTGGACCATGTTAGTATGTGTATTTATGTAGTCTGGACTTACTTACCAAAAAAGGTCGCAAAGACTGATGCCTTCATGGCTAGAACAACAAAATCAGCAGGGTCAGTCAAATGCGCTAGAAAGGAAAACAAAACAGCCTTGTCACATTGCATTCAGAGGTAGTATAGTGACTACTGGGGGTGAGGAGGGGAGGGAGATGGGGAGGAAGAAGTAGTTCTGTGTACCACCCCCTAAGTATTGTGAAGTCCTAGCATTCTGGATCCTCTTCTTACTGAGAAGGTACGCTTTATAAAGACTTGAAATGTATTAATAGTCTACTTGATATAGCACTTTCTAATTTGACTTTGATGAATGAGGCCTGGATTTCACTCTTGGAATCTTTCCAGGTAAATGGGAGTTTTGCCACTTCCTTCAACACAGCCAAAATTTCACCCTAGATACTTTTTTCCAAAGCCAGCGGCAATGGAGGCCATGACAGAAGCTGCTATATACTTGCAGTCTTAAAGGTTGATTTATTTCCCTTACAGAGAGCTGACAGAAAAAAAAATCTTACTACTGTTCACACGTTAGTGACCGATTTTTGAGGTGCTGCAGTGTTCTTCATTTCTGGTTTTTGACCAAGACTAGAATCAGGAGATTGCCCCTTCCTAAGAGATTTTCTGTCCTACCTTTGCAGATCTGAGATGTTTGGACAAGACTCTTCCCTTTTAGAGCATTATGCAAATCATACTCACACTAGGAATGTTTGAAGGTTTCTATTACTAGATAAAACCCTCCAGGTATGAGACTCACCAGTGGTTGATGGTGATAAAATGTGAGAATCCCATAAATCAGAATCTGAGCACACCTGTACTGTTTAATGTAAAAAAGGTGACGTTAGAGTCCCAGTCAGATGAGCAAGATGCCAGATATGGTCACACTAGAGGCTGTAGGAGCTTGACATTCTTTGAGTGTTCATGATTACCATTCCACTGATAGCTGAGGAGTGCAAAATCCATGTGTTTCCCCTCTCCAAACTAGAATCAGTCTCTCGGAAGGGCAGCAGGCTGTTTCTGCTGTCAGCATTTGTATTTGCCCAGGCAATGGGAAAGGAGGGGCTTCTGGCCAAAATGGTCTGCCATTGGTGGTCCTGCTAATCAGAATTCATAGTAGAGCCACCATTTGGGAGGCCTTCTCCATGGGCAGATTCAAACGTGGGCACTGAGGACCAGCAGATTTTTCTTCCTAGAGGTTCCACTGAGGCACACATCATGGCAGGAGCCTTCACTGGGCATACGTTGTATGACTAAGCAGCCCTGAGCCTTCAAGTACATGGGTCCCTGAGCAGCTAGCCCACTGCCATCTTGTTTTTGGGGCCCCACCTTCCCAAGTAATTGAGTCAGCCACCGTACTGCCTGAGGGCTGATGCAGTTACAGGGGCTGCTTGTGTCTAACACATTCCCTGTCCATCAACCTCCACTCTTATAGACGTTCCAGGGTGTCTCCACTCACCTACCCTGCACTGCCTTTACAAACTTTGCATTCGAGCACGTCTAGCATGGGCTGGTGATAGTGGAAATTTCCTAATCCAACCTGCAGAGGCACAGCCATTGGGCAGGCTCTTGTGTTGAAGGCACTTCTGTTGGGAATTGTAGCTTTTCGGTAGCCTACTCGTGCCTTGGGACACAGAGAAATATGCCTGAGACCTCTTCCCAGCCTCTCAGCACTCTCCCCAGACAGTCATGCAGTAGTTCTGCCAATCTCCACTATATTCAACTTGCTTTTAGGGTTATTGTCACAACTAACGGATACATGAAGCAGTAAAAAAAATACACTTGATTTATGCCTTTGCTTCCAACCTACTCGTACTGGAAGATAATCTGAAAATGAAAACCATAAATACAAGTACAAGTCTGAATTTAGAAAAAAAAGAAACAAGATTTATTACAAACTGCCTCTGAGAACCAGAAACTATCATTCTGTAACCTTCCTGATCAGCTCCTGCAGTCTGAAGCAGAAAGTCAAGAGCAGCTTCTCAATTTAGCAAACATGAATCTGTCATTGTGCCAAGGTTTGCGAGGAAAACAATTTGTGCAGTCCACTGAAGTTGCACGGTAAGTATTTAATTCCAGAGAAATTGGCTTGCAACCAGTACAACTGAAGACCCTATAGATGAATTCATGAATCCAAAGAGCTCATAGATGATTTTCAAACCAACCGACCAACCAATAAATAAACGGGGGAAAAAACCCAAATTCTGTAGATGAACTTGAAAGAAGCAAAACCAGGGGCCATGCAGATGAATAGGTTAACCACGGAGCAGGCCAAAACTGTCTTCCTGCTGCTATATGTTTGATATTCCCAGCTGATAAAATTTGCTTTCAAGATTCAGTTTTATCCTTTGAGCAATTGTGAATGCTTGTACAGATTGGAACCTGCCAGCCACTGAAAATGATAGGCCGAAAGGACAGTTGCATTGTTTCCCCTACAAACTGCCATTTTTCATGCTCCTTTGATAAAATGAAAAGTGCACCACACACAAAGTTACATGTTAAGTGGCCTAACACACTCACATCTTTCAGATTATACATGCTGTCATGCTTTTGGGGACATAGAATTTTGAAAAAAATGGTTCACAGTGACTGGAACAATATTTCTGTTCATGGGGGCATAACACAACATGCACCAGTGTTCTCTCTGAGCTGTGTGGCAGCCCAGATTCACAGGTGATTAATCAGCTGACTGATTGGATGAAGCTGATTAATCACCTGTGAAGCTGTGCTGCCCTGCAGCTTAGAGGGAACACTGGTGCAGGCACATGTGGCAGCTCTACAGCTCATGAAATGTCATAGTATCAAAGTCTGTTTTGGTAAAGCAACCTCTCTTTCATGGCTTGGATGTTCTACTTCAATCTACTATGGCGGCATCCAATCTTAGCTAACATGGTGGCAGCCTTCAGAATCTTTGTCAAAGAAAATTGACCTTCTCCAAGTCCTCCAGACATTTGAGAGCAAAGTGCATGAGTTCAGGAAATTCACACCAGAAGAAAAATATGAGGAAATTGTAATAGAATTTCAAAACAGATGAAAGCAATGGGTTTTCGAAATGCAAACAATCCAAGATACGGCAAGAGAAGTGTGCACCACATGGATGATGAATTACTAAATGATTCTGTATTACAAGCCAAGAAAATATTCGAAGTATCAATATATTTGTAGAGCTAAAATCTCGGAGAGAGATTTCAAGAAGTATCTATTCTATTTGGTTTCCTCCATCCCAGGCAACTTCAAAATAAAATCATATGAAAACACTTGGTTTTTTTTTTTTACTTGGTTCACAAGATTCTTTCAAGATGTATGGCTTTATAAAGGAGGCTGAGATGTTCATTTTGTCACATGGGGTCCAGAGCTATTTGAATTTCAGAATGTCGGAATCTCTTGATGATGATTAGAAATGGAAATTCTTCATGACCATGCCAATTGGAGTAGCTAGTGCAAAATGTACAATGGACACTTTAAAATGTGGAAAATCTACAAGTATTCAACACAGCTACAGACATGGCTGAGTGATCTTGCACTCCTTACGATTGTGAGAAAGGAGACTGCAAGGTTGGAGCTGGCCAGTAACAGAATCATAGAACAAATTGTCAAGGAAAAATATCATTGCGTGTGAGGTTCCAATAACTTGAGATACAGAAGTCAATGCAACATGAGCAAGAAGCTATTTTTGCTTTGACTGTGGTATTTGTTTTATTGCGTGTTTTAAAAATATATATATTAAAAAAAGCCTGAGGAAATATGACCACTGGACCTCATGCTGCCCAAGCTGACTGCACTCTGACCCTTAAATCTGTCCCTACATAGAACACTTCCTAACCATTCAGAATATTGCTCATACTTCTACTGTGAATCTGACAAAGGAAATGGAAATCACAGGGAGTTCCAGCACAGTGAGACTTGAGAGATCCAGATCAGATCATCTTAAAGCAGTCATGGCTTCATCCAACACCAAATCAGTCCTTCCAAATGCACCAACAGCAAGATACCTAGACAATAGCTCTTCCCATTCTCACGGTATCACTTGGCATTCCATTCCTTCATTCTAGTCCCAGGAGAAATACCTGGGGAGAGATTCCAAGCACTGTCAAGCCCCCAGTAACTCACCATTAAATGTGTTGAGGTGTTGCCACTGATGTTTTTGGGTCAAAATTTCTGATTGATGAGGAGTGATCTTAGGTCGGGTACCTAAAATCTGAAGCACTTAAAACCACTGGTGGGAATTTAAGCCAAAATTCACAGGGAGTTTGGGTGTCTGTAGATGCTTGTCCAGTCAGGATTCGATATCATGTTGTATTTTTGCCAAGTTAGGATATGTATGGAATGATAAAATTATATTAGCAAAAGCTGAAGTTGGCATATGGGCAAAACTCCTATATTGGCTTTTTTGTTTGTGTTGAGAGATTCCAGTACTAGCTGATTGTCCTGTCTGATAAAATGCTAAAGTCAGGGTACATCTAGACTACAGGCTTTTGTCGACAGAGGCTTTGTCGACAGATACTGTTGACAAAGCCTCTGTCGACAAAGAATATCTAGACTACATCCAGTTCTGTCAACAAAGCAAGCTGCTTTTTCGACATGAGAGTGTAGATGCAAAGGTCAGTGTAGATGCAATAACACCTTCTGTCGACAAAACTCTGTCAACAAAAGGTGTTATTCCTCATAGAATGAGGTTTACCACCATCAACAAAAGTGCTGATTTCTGTCGACAGTACTCAGTGGTAGTGTAGATGCAGGTATAGTTTTGTCGGCAAAAGTCCACTTTTGTCGACAAAACCCTGTAGTCTAGACACACCCTCAGTGAACAGACAAGGACAGTTTGAGTTAAAGAAAAGGAAATCTGGCTAAAGCAGTGATGGTTTTTGTTTTTCATAGTTCTTATTCCCTCTGTTATAGCAAAAAATAAGTTTTGCTAAAACTAGGATTGTACGTAATTTCCAATATCTTCCTCAAGATAAATGATTTAGGAGTAGTTGTGTGTACAGTTTTCTAGCTATTATTGATTTAGACCAGAAGATTTTTCTGTCCCATGTTCTCTTTTTCTGTTAGGAGGTGGAGGGCATTTCCAGTTCAAATATGG